AGCAATAAAAGCAGTAATGGCTTGGCTTTTTTCTTAATGGTTTTCTCTTACTCTTTGTGCATTGAAACAAGTGAAGAGTTCTTTGCATTTTGTTTCTTCAGTCATTGCAGAAGTAAATAATGCTACTGACCTCCCAAAAAGAATTCATGGTAAAGATCCCAATGAGATGAGGGCAATGTCATAACACATCCCCAATCAAACACACAGTCTGTGGCCCTTCACAAATTACTTAGCTAAGCAGGAAAGTCAGTAAGACAGGGTTGTCTGGTGCTGAACAGAAGGTTGGCCTTGATACCCATGTGGAGATAGCTAAAGAATCATCCTTCATTCATAACGAACCTATAGACAGAATTAGTAAGCTTTGGTTGCTCAGTGCCCTGAATTCTGTGGTGATTTAAATGTTCAGGTCTTGATTTCACAAATTTTGTCATACTCTTTAAGTTTTCAATGCCAGATAGAAGTAAATAGTCCTGAGAATAATAAAAGAAGATTATCATTACTAAGCAGTATTTTATTAAGATAGAAAATACTCTTCTTGTGATATCATGTGAAAATGACATTTATCTTTGAGGCTGAGAACATTGATAATGAAGCACAGCTGCAAGGTATGGAAATTTTCAAAATAAGATGAAGCCTTCTCTAAGTTACACAGAACACCACAGTAGTGGAGTGAGTAGCAGAGCTAGAGCTGCGCTCTCAGGCTGTCCTATGAAAAGTTAGACTAGTCAAGAGCTCCAGTGTGGATGCTAAGGAAAAAGGTTAATAGAGAAAAGAGGTTTTAGGACTGGAGGATGGAGGAGAGATGGTGTGCATTCCCAGAGAACTCAGGTTCTCTGTAGTCAGTGAAGAAAGAGTTTTATGGATTTAATGGACACTGAACCTCGTTTCTGGAGGGTCCAAACAGACAGACAGAATGACAGTCTTAGATCACTGTGGCTCTTTTGCCTTGGCTTTGCAGTTAGAAAGATGAATGTAATCAGTAATCATGTGTTGGGAGACACTTCTTGTGATGCATTAGGTTAATGATCCTCTTCTCTTAATTCTCTTAATCATCATATTACTTGTGTCTTAGTTAAAATTAAATGCCTCGAACATAAATTCAGCACTTTGTCTATACACAGCAGTCCTGTGTCCAGGGATTTAGTGATATTTCAGGCGCCAACAAAATATGTAAATTTGTAGAATGCATCTACCTTCTGTATCCATCTGGTATTGGCATCAGCAGAGCTGCACACAAGGTGATTCTTACCCTGTATTATGAACCAATCTCTTCACTGCGCATTTTCCCTTCTTTGGTTATTTCTTTCAGCCAGCAAGTATGCAAATATATACATAGACATTGTAGCACTGTAACTTTCATATACAGAGCATGTACAGAATACCCACCAGTGGACTTGGGAAATATGTCAGTGCTTATTATGCTCATGAATGAAAGGAAATGCCAGGACCCCTTACAGTATAACATTCTGGGCCTGCTCATTAATGCAAACCCTCTAGGAAAACGTCTCATGACAATTTGACCTTTCCCTAAAAATTACTCCTTATTCATAGTCAATTAGAAGGGTTTCCCTCATTTAAAAAAAATATTAGGACCAACTAATCAGATACCTAAAATCAAGTTGTTGAAATGGCAGTTGATTTTTTTGTCTGACAAGTAAAATCTGCGCATTTCATTCCCTCAGCAGGGAATAAATGCCTACATGCACAACTCCTTTTACAAAGACTTAATATAGCATGGGCACAGGAAAATGCCTCTTAATTTAGTGTTTTCATGTCTTTGCCAATGGATGTCTAATTTTTGTTACAATGCTCTTGGTACAATACTGTCCTGCCTTGGCTATGCAGTACAAAAAAAAAATCTGAGGAGTTCAACAAACAACTTTGTGAGAGGGTAAGAGGTGGCTGAAATTTGAGTTGCAGTTTTTATTGCAGACATCAGCTTTTAATTCCATTGTATTGTTTAACCTTCAATGTGGTTACTCTGGGAGTATATTTGATTTCATTGACTTATTTTGTGCCCTCTGTGGATTCCCTACACCTGAATGATAGTTCTATAAACTAAACTTTTTTTGCTGAAATGAAATATGCTGAGACTGTGTCTAAATCTTCTGAATTTGTACTTGTAGAGGTTTCATAACATAATTGTCTTCTGATGTGAAAATCTCTTCTAGAAAGCAAATTGGTGAAGTTTTTACAAATAATTCCTTTGTGATGAATGATGTAAGTGTATTTTGTGTTCTGTTGCAAAATTTTACGCATATTTTTATGTGCATATGGATTCACAGATTCATAGAATAAGTTTGATCGGGAAGGACCTTTAAAGGCCATCTAGTTCAACCCCTTTACAATAAACAGGATCATCTTCAGCTAGATTAGGTTGCTCAGAGTCCCATTCAATCTGACCTTCAATATTTCCAGGGATGCAGCATCCACCACCTCTCTGGGCTGCATGTTCCAGTGTTTCACCAATCTCATAATAAAAAAGTGTTTTCTTTACATCTAGTCTGAAAATCAATACATATTGATGTAATATATAAACCCAACATTTTAAATGCAAAGGGTTGGGAAGGGTTTGTTTTTCATTTCACTGACTAGCAGGTCAAGGGAGGTAATTCAGTTCTGAACTCCACTCTAGTCACAACCCAACTGGAGTGCTCTGTTCAGCTCCGGCCCCTCCAACACAAAAAAGACCACGGAGTCCAGAGGAGGGCCAGGAAGATGGTCAGAGGGCAGGAGCCCCTCTCCTACGGAGACAGGCTGAGAGAGCTGGGCTTGTTGAGCCTGGACAAGACAAAGCTCTGGGGAGAGCCTTTCTTTGCATTCCAGTACCTAAAGGAGGTGTACAAGAAAGTTGGGCGGGGATCTTTTACAAAGTCATGTAGATACAAGACAAGGGAGAATGGCTTTAAACAGAAAGAGTGTAGATTTAGGTTAGTTATTAGGAAGACATTTCTTTACTGTGAGGGTGGTGAGGCACTGGAACAGGTTACCCAGGCAAGTTGTGAATGCCCAATCCCAAAGTTCAAGACCAGATGGGATGTAGCCTTGAGCAAGCTGGTGTAGTAGAAGGTGAAGCTCCCCATGGCAGGGGGGTTGGACTAGATAATGTTTAGGTTCCTTTCCAAAGCAACCCATTCTTTGATTCTATGAAATAGCTAGGTCTTCTCTGTTTGATCCATAGTTCCTAACTTCTTAGGATTGAATTTTATTGAAGCCTTATGTAGACAGATGAAAGTCTTGGTAAAACAAGCTGTAAATCATTGCAGCACTGATTTCAACATGTCACTAGTGTGGGCAAGTCTGGCAGCAGTAACATGACACCTGTTAGACAAAGAATAGGTCAGTGATCCCTGGGTTTGGGATGGTGCTGTGCCACAGCCCAGCAGCCCTTAATGTGAGCCCATTTACTAACAGGAACCAACACAAACTGTTGGGTCACTGCTTTCAGATGGAGACACAGTGATTGCTAAGAACTGGCAGCTTATAAAAACAGGTGATAGATGCTCAGAGATCATCTTGGTATGCCCTCAAGGCCTTTTAAGTTACTTTGCTTGTAATAAGAGGATGCCAGAAGACCTTTATAGTCTATGTATAGACCATATGTAGATATATATACACACAGGTATGTGCCAGGCATGCAATATATAGATGGTTGTGCATTTCTGCTTCAAATTTGGTGCAGTTTCAAAGCCACTTCAGTACAACTTTCTCCTGTAGTTATCTTTCTAAAATATAATCTGCCTAACAAATGCCATCACAATGGTGTGTGCTGGAGTTGTGCTCTCGTGCTGAGAGAGATGTCTGTGGGGCTGCAGGCTCATCCCATCAGTAGATCATCCTGCATTAATGCCTCAGGCACTAATGCCAGCAAAGCTGTTCTGAGTTCTCTTAACTGATAAGTGACTCTCACTCCTTAGCAGCATAGCAAGTAATAGCAAGAGCTTTGTATACAGAGAACATCACTAGGCTTTGCTTTTCTAATCTGTCCGTATCCTTAATCATACAAGAAACATGAGGACATGGCAAGAGAAGAGAATCTGAAGCTCTTATTGAAATGGGGTGGCAGGATATTTGCCACCTCATTCAGGCAAGGATATTCCCAATGCAAAATTTTGCTCTCCTTTCATGTTTTCATTGGCCACTGGGAGGAAATTAGGATGTAGGGAAAAGAAGGGAGAAATATTTCTTTCCATTCTGCCAATAAGTGCTTTTGCCTGAAGGGGGCTGCTTAAAGTTCCATGTGAAGAATGGTACCGCCCTGGAAAAGGACAAAGGCACCAGTTTGGGCAGGTGGCTTGGTGGAGGACATAATTTATTGTGAAGTCATTGTGGCCAGGTAGCCTCAAGCCAAATTCAAAGAGTCACATTCCTGACACTTTAGATTTGGATTTCAGCTAGAGTTAGCACATATCCCAGATCCATGCCAAGCCCCAATGGGAATATCATAAAAGTTCTGCTTCAGGTGCACTAGATGGCTTCTTAAGGTTTGAATATTTTTTTCATTGCTGCTGTTGTCTTTTGGGTAAATTGACACAGTTTGCTTCTGGAGGGGCTGTATTGTTTTTGTAATCACATTTTATGATTACTGGCAAATAATAGCTTTAGCTTTTCACAGAGTGAAGCAGAATGACTCTGGCATACAAGCGTTCCAAGCAGAGAGCTCAAAGCACCAATCTCCCCTTTCAGACAATATAAACTGACAGTGTGATTATGTACCTTCAGAACAAGAATGTGCTGTAGAGGTTCAGGAAAGACTTGCCAAGCATAAATATTAGACATAGAACCTGCAGAAATCCCATCACTCAAATATGTGTATGAGGTATTTTGTTTCAGTAGACCTTCTTGGTGATGGCATTAACATTTTTCATATTTAGATAAGGTTAAACTTATTGTTAAAAATGTTCAGTGGAAATACCATATACATTTTTTTTACCAAGCTTGATGCTTTTTGTGCTTGCTTTTCAGCACAGCTAATTTGGTTTTATCATGTTTTCCTGCAGCAGTTAAGATCATGGAAGAACCAGAATCATCAGGGGATGACATTTTTGTTACAGCCAGCACTTATGAAGGGTTGCCTTTCTTTACTGCTCCAAGTGGTGTCTCTACCATGCAGCCTGGAGCTGCCATCACCGACGTGCTGCCACCAATAGTACCACTGCCCGCAGCCACCAGCCCGTCCTACAGCCCCTCCGAGATCATTGAGCAGTCCCTTGAGTTACCAGGTCCCTCAGTGCCAGCCCCTGAGGGGATTCCTGTGGATGGCACCGGGATGGGCGTGCAGGACATCGCGGCTGAGCTGGATCAGATGGGCGCCGTGAGCACAGCGGGGCTGGACGAGGGCAGTGGCTACATCCCAGTGCTGACCACGGAGCCTGCAGAAACCACCCCTGCACCCGTGCTCAAGTACGTCACCACCAGCTCCATGACCACTGCCGCCAAAGGCAAAGAGCTCGTGGTTTTCTTCAGCCTGAGGGTAACCAACATGCACTTCTCTGACGACCTCTTCAACAGGAGCTCGACAGAATACAAAGCACTGGAACAACAGTTCATGCAATTGGTGGGTGAAAATCGACCTCAACAGCATGAGTGGTAGCTGGGTGCAGTTTAAAGGAATACACTGAAGTGCACAGTGTTTTAACAATACTAAACCCTACTACAGTTCAGTCTGATAAGCTGTATTTTAAAGGATCCATAAGCCTGGAATGCTCTTAGGCTCTGAAGACAGGGTTTATGAAGTCAGTGATGAAAGATTTTACTTGATCAAGAGAACCCAGATATATGCCTAGCATGTAATTTATTTGGCTTTTTCTTAGATCCACATCAACACTGTAGCAGTGCTGATTATATCTGAGACTTGTGTCTGCTTGCTGCATTTAAAAATAGGCTTTTAAAAATATATCATAGCATAGACTGTGATTAGATATGGATTTTCTCTGTTGGTACAATAGGGCACAGGTCAGCTCAGCTATAACATGCCTATTATACTATGCCCTAACCTGCCTGGATTGAATGTTTGAAAATAATTAAAGTTGGCTTTTGAGTGAGGTAATTTTTTTCTCTTCCAGATGAATAAACTTCCCAGCTGCTATGCATTTCATTACAGGGGAAATTGCTGCCCATCCATCTCAATACATTATTGAGAAAAGAGCAGAAATCCAGAAGAAGATACTGCTAAACAGAAAAGTTAATTTGTTCATAGAGCTTAACAATTGTATTAAAACTCAGGGAAATAAATCTGTGATGTGTGTACTTGATAATGAAAATTGACTATAAGAGAAATTAATAGCAGGTAGACACTGACAGCAAGTTAAAATAAAGGCAAATTTCTGTTTTGCAGTTACTTCCATACCTTCAGTCCAACCTTACAGGTTTTAAGCATCTGGAAATTCTCAACTTCAGGAATGGAAGTGTGATTGTGAACAGCAAAATGAAATTTGCCAAGACAGTGCCATACAATATCACAGAAGCAGTACACTGTGTTTTGGAAGATTTCTGTGATGCTGCAGCTCAGCACCTCAATTTGGAGATTGACAGCTATTCCCTGGATATTGAGCCAGGTAAGACTGCATTACTAATGTATGTGCTAAATCAAAACTGAGCAGACAATCTTTTTTCAGACTGTTACAGCTTCAGAAGTATGACTGTGTTGGAAACAACCACATTAGCAATATCCTCCCAGTGATAGGGGGTAATAAGATGAAAAAAGATGTTGCAAGTTCTCTGCAGATGTATTTTCTTACTGTAATGAAAAGCTGGGTGGAGCTGTTGGGCTGTGCTTGTTCACCAGCTGCTTTTCAGAGACAGAGTGATCTCTGGAATAAGTGCTGGGTGGAGACAGGTATAAGAAATGCCCATGTGCAGCTTGCAGGTCTTGCATTGGAGTATGGAAACATAATTTCTGGTGATTATTGCAATGTTGTAAGCAAACCATGGTTTAGAGCATTATTTGATCTTTTTCTAAAGAGATACAGCATTCAAAACAAAAGGAGACAATGTGTGTAGGAATAATTGGATTCTACAGATACTCACTAATTGGGCATGACTTTATGTAGTACTCCATAGATTTGTAATTCTAGAATCCCTCTGGATTTATATCTTTCAAATAAGTTTGTAGTCTTTGCTAAAAGTAGAAAGCCAGTAACTACACACATCTGGACACTATTCTTACGTCAAGAACTTAGTGTTTTCAAAAACTACACTCTTTTATAAAATTGAAGCCTAAATCTATTTTCAGGCTCTGGTAATTATTTCAGGGTTGAATTTAATTTCATTGTCATGGAGAAGAACAATAGCAAAAGTATGCAGATGCCTCAAGCAGTTTTCATTAAGCTGTTTTTTTATGTACAGATCTATGACAATTCTGGAACAAAAATCCATTTAAAATTCAGTTTCTAACCAGTTTTTTTTTTACATATGTCTTTGTGGCCACTAAAAGCATAGGTAGCTTGTGGTAAAGAAAGCTAACAAAATCACAGTATTCCACCCTCCAAATAAACCATAATAAACTGAAGTTTGATGGATAAAGTATCAAATTAGTTAATTCTAAAGAGTAAACTTTGGGCTGCCATATGTTCCCTGCTTTAGTAATGAATTTTCATTAAAGAAAAATTAAAATAAGAAAGATCCTAAAATGCAAATTCATAAAAAATTTTAAATCTTTCATCTTCATCTGATATGCTTTACTGATGTGGTATTTCAACATTAATTCAAGAAAATTCAAGAGAATTCATTACAGAGAATTTGTGGAGAGATCTGTTTTATCGAGGCTTATAAGCTTATTAGGTAATATATAGTAGTATATATAGCTTATAAATTAGCTTATAGAGTCAAAATAGAAGAAATTGTGTTCACAAAGCCAGTGTATTCCAGTACAGGTGTGGCAAAGCAGGTGCGTTTTAATTTCAGAAAACAAACCAAAAAAATTAAATCCAACCTGTCTATCAAGTTAAGGAATATAAGCAAATTCCTCTTTATTGTGAAACTGAGAGCCATCTAGTGGTAATGATGTTCTACCAAAGTGAAACATGGATGGGAACTGACAGTCCAAAATCCACATCAAGAGTCAGCAGCTGCAAAGGGCTGACTGCACTGGTCCTAAATAATACCATAAAGGAGGACCTTTCAAAATACATGCAGGAAATATTTAATTAATAATTATTTTTTATAATTGATTTTTTAAAAATCATTAATAATTCTTTTCTGTGGAAACAGAAAATATAACAAAGTATGCACGTATATGTTAAGGAAGATGACATCACAAGAACTCAGCCCAGCCAAATGCTTGACCCAAGCTCTACTTGTTGTTGTTGTTGTTTACCTGTGCTCACACTCCCAGTCCAGGAGCAAAGGACGGATCAAGCCAACATGGACACTGCATATAGCAAAGAGAAAGGGTGCATACTAAACCCACTAGTCAAAAATTAAAAACAGGAATTAGCCATAAAATTATCCAGGGATTATAAGTGATCAGCCCTGATGGATTCATTTCTACCATTGAAGAATATCCCAGTGTGTGTCTGAGATTTCCAGTACTCCTATAACAAATGCAATCCTAATTTTTCATTTAAATTAATATTACTGAGCATCTGGTGTATAAAGCATGAATGGCTGCAGAAGAAAACTCTCATCCCAGTTACAAGCTGCAATGTCCAGTACAAACCTTCCCTTCAAACTACATAATTATAAAGGGCCACAGAGCCCAGCTCATACCTGAAAATCTGCTCTCATTTCCTTCTCTGCTTTCTTTTCTTAGTTTTGTTCACCTTCTGTTTTTTTTTTTTTTCCTCTCTGGTTTCATATATCTTACTAGGGCTGCTCAATGGCAAGAACAGGACTTGTATCCCCTGATCTGCTTCTCACCTTTTTGCCTTCTAAGGTTTTTGCCCCATGGTACCCAGGACACAGACTCCATCAGACAGGACAGGTGGATGCAGCCCTCCTCCTCATCACCCCATCAGTACAAGTTGGGTTGGCAGAGAATGGGAAAGGAGAAGCAAAGTTGTGTAACAGCTGTCTCTGATTTGAAATGAACATCAGCAGGGTCCTTTTCCCTTAATCTCATAGAGGAATCCTTTACTAATATTTAGAAAACAAAACAAAAAACCAAGCAGACCTTTCCAATGTTAACATACCATAACACAAAAAAAAAAACCCAAAAAATGAACAAACAAAAAAACCCCACCCACGCAAAACCCCCACACTACAAAGCCTGTAAGCATATTCTTTGGAATATGACAGTATTTCCACATTGCAGGTCTTAGGATTGTGCAATATTCAATAATCTAATTCCATTCCTCTGCCGTGTCCTAAATTATGTGTTTAAGAACACATAATCAGAGTTGAAATTATTTCATAAGGCTGTAGCACAGGATCCATGAGTATGATGATAGCACTCACAGCAAAAACAGGGTAAAATCATCCAAATGTGAAAATCCTTGTCAGTGAGATGAAAATAAACTCACTGCTTAACAGAGATAGGGTAAATCAGTGCAGATGTCACCACGACCTGGCTGTGTCCTGTACAGGAAGGGGCTGTCTGTCCTTCCATGCTGGACAACATCCTCCTCTCGGCCCACCCAATTGGCAGGCCGGTAAACAGGAGCTGTTCTCTCTGGCTGCCGCAAGCCCTGCCAAGGCCCTTTGGGGTAACGCTTCATTACTGATTCACCCCTCCTTTACAGCGGACCAGGCCGACCCCTGCAAGTTCCTGGCCTGTGACAAGTTTTCCGAGTGCGTGCTGAACGAGTGGACCCGGGAGGCCGACTGCCTGTGCAGGCCCGGCTACGCCAGCCGGGACGGGCTGCCCTGCCGCAGCCTGTGCGAGCTGCAGCCCCAGCTCTGCCTCAACGGCGGCAAGTGCGAGCTGGTGCCGGGAACCGGAGCTGTCTGCAGGTAAATGGATTGATGAATTCTCTTAACAGCCCCAGAAACCATGCTGATAAGCCAAAAGCTCGACATTCAGATGCTGTAAGTCACACGGCAAATACTCTTCTGAAGTATAAATAGTCTCACCATGGATAAATCCATTTCTGCCTGTTAGTATACACAGAACATTATGATCTAGATATTTTTAGAGATGCTTCAGAAATTTATTAGAAATTCAGCATCATTGTAAGTGATGACACACACAAAGGCATGCATTCATTTCAGATTTCCAAACACATTTTGGAAAAATGGAACAACACATTCACAGTTTTGCTACCAATTACATTGTAGCATTTTAAGAAGTTACATTTTTGTAAGATATGTTAAAAAGAGAACCTTTATTTGGAATATGACAGTATTTCTACATTGCAGATTTTAGGATTGTGCAATATTCAATAATCTAATTCCATTCCTCTGTCATGCCCTAAATTATGTGTTTAAGACCACGTAATCAGAGTGGAAATTATTTCTCTCACATAAGGCTTCTGGACTGTGATTCCAGACCACCCAATAAAGCACATGAAGGCTGAAGCTGCTTTCAGGGATTTTTGGGAAAGACTTGAAGATTAGCAGTTCTTCCTTACTGCAAACATATTTCTTAAGGATTTTTAAATGGAATTATCTTAAGTCAATACTGAGAACTTCACAGTACTTGAACATATTCACTCTCTTCCAAAGTATCAAGTATCTTCTCATTGTAAGACTAGACAATTCACAGCATTTTGTGAAACTGTATACTAGACTGGCACACAGTAGTTAACCAGCCATGTACATAAGCAAGGATCAAGTTACAATTCTTGCATTTGTTTATTTTCTCTCAATACTTTGACTAGATTAACAATACATCTTTTACCTTACTTAAGATTAGCATCAAAAATTAAGACCATTGGAAAAATTATTCAAATTATTCACTGGAACAACCCAACTACCAAAATTAATTTTCTTCAATGGGTATCACAGGAATTATATTGAATTCACCACAATTACTGCCAAATTCCTGACTTTCAGAGTCACAGTAGAGCAGCTGCAGCATTTAGTACTGGAAGTCAGCCTGTGACCTAGAAAGGTCCTCTTCAAAACTTCGCTGAGGTAGCAAGGGGTCTGACCTACTCCTCCAAGACTGATGCGCTAAGCAAAATAATCCTTTCCCCATCCAGAAAAACCCTGAATGTACAAGTATAACTAAACCAACATGAGGACTTTTAAAAGCACTAAAAATAATAAATGAAATTTTTTGTGAATTATAGCAAGTCACAAATTCCCACCAGTGTTGGACTGACAGCCTGTGCAAACTAGTACTGTCAGAGAGAAAATTATAGCCTACTATTTGCCCTTGTGCTCCTTGTAAATTCCCTTCCCCCTTGTCTTGTAGAGTTCTGCTACTTGCAGTAGAACTCCTATTCCAGACCTTACTCCCCAGAGTGAAATCACCAGTAAACAGAATATAAGCTTCAAAGTTGTGTTCAGACATTACCTTAAAACACACCTGAACTTCCAAAGTTCTAAACCACAAATGTTACCTGTGGGGTTAGAAATTTGTCAGAGATATTTAAAATGCATTGTTTCCTTAAAATTTGTAGGTCAGCAAGGAATATGTCAGTTTCTTTTTATTTAAAACTCACTCTTGAGTGTAAAAATATTATCTTTCCCTATGATCAATCACATAATTTTCATGCAGAAACATAATTCTTTGTAGTGGAAATAATGTGTTCATATTACATTGGAGATTTTCCGTTCTTTTTGTTTAAGATACTCAGTATTTTTTGCCTTGAAGTTCTGTACATTTTTTCTCTTCCTTTCCTTATTTTAGATGCCCTGTACGTAGACACCAGCTTTACCAAGGACAGCGCTGTGCAAAATTTGGTCCAGAACCCACACAACCCTTCATTTTTAAACCTCTCATTTTTGGCTTAGGAAGCCTTGGTTTTCTTTTCATCATTTTAATTATTAAGATAAGAAGAAGGTGCAAAAGAAACTCTAATTTGCAGTAAGCTGCTCACAATCTTTTCCTTCACATTTCAAAATATTCCTTTTGTTTCTTTTGCAATTTAAAATCTTACCTAAACAAAAATGTTCTGCATTGTAGAAGTCCTGCTCTCAGCAGCTGCAATCCAGAAAATGCTGTAAGGATTAATCCTGCTTTTGAACACGATGAATCCCTATCTAGCTTTTGTCACACGGCTTGCAGTGTAAGTGCTTGTCTCAGTTTCTCAGAGATCCTTGATCACGAAGCATTACATGAACTTGAAAACACAATTCAGCCTGGAGGTAAACTGCATGGAAATCCCTTTCTCATCCCTCAACCAACAGCCCCACCTGAAATAACAGGTCCACCTTCGTGTATTAACTCCACAACTAAATCAAACTTGAAGCTACTCTTGCTTGGCAATTTCAGAACTGAAAATACTAATGCATTCATTGCTTTCCACATTTACTGCAGTGTAGTTCTCATAACAGGACTGTAGAACTGCTTTTCTTACAGCTGTCTTGCATGGCTCTGCCAGTCTATCCTAGCTGAGTGCTTTTAGTCATTTAGAGAAATAATTACTGGTTTGGTTTTTTTACTCTTGTAGGTCACCAGATGAGTTTACAAAACCAAGACTGACAAGTTAGTCCCTGGAATTCTTCGTTTCCAGCATCAGCCACACAAAATCAAGGTTTGTGACTATTTTCAAGAGCCTTAAAAATCTGTTGTGTCCCATTGTCAATGTTATCAGGGAGCCTCTTTGAAGTAATTCCATACAAAGAAGAGCTCAGGGTTTTTTGATGCTTGATATGACAACTATATTTTCTTCATAAATGTTTTTATGCAACAAAGTTCTATTTTGTATAATCATGTGGTAATGTGGCAGTCACTGGAACATGTGAAGGAAGAAATACCTGAAATGACGAAGTAACACAAAATGCAATCCAAAGGAGAGGTTTAAATAGCAGTGCTAAAAAAATCTCAGATCACTCAGTCTGGTTAAGCTACATAGAGTTTGGCAAGTAGGAATTCTAATTTGAGCAGAATATAGCTCATATCTCAAGTATTATTTCAAGTTTTGCAACTTGAAACACCTTGTATCTTTGTGGGGGGAAAAAAGACAGAAAGGAGAAAAGCTGAGTCAAACTTCCTCTAAAACTGACAGACTGTTTCTGATGTATCCGAGTATGTCCTCTTGTTAGGTAAAATAAAAAGCTTTTACTTTGTCATTTTCATTTTTCTGAATTACAGCCCAATTAGGAATAAAAAGGTTTTGCTATAGCTGTTAGCACCCTTTGTTATTGTGGGGAATATCAGTACAGGAGTGCTCTTGGCACTAGCTGGACATTTTGGAAGACAGGATATCAACTACATGAATCTTGAGCTCCTAACATGTTTGTTGTTATGTAAATAAAGGAACAAGCAAAGAAGAAAGAAAAGAAAAGATAAAGAAAAAGAAAAGATTTATTGTCACTGATATTCATCATTCCCAGGTGTGATCTTTTCACGTACAGTTATAGACTGAGCTGAAAATGGGGGGACTGGAATGCAAAGATAGAGATGGAGAAAGGTGGAGATGGACAAAGCAGCAGGGAGTAGCAGTTTGGAAAAGCTCAAGAATTAACTTACTTCACTGGTCATAAAAGCATGAGCACAGATGTTTGCAATTAGTATTTTACACCCACCTTAAAAGAAATGTGCCTGTGGGCAATTGTAGACCGATAAACTTTCATAATAGCTAAACTACTTAAAATTTCTACATAGAAAAGAATTAAATATTTTATTAAGTAATAAAATGGCACATCTGTGAAAGAAAACACTGTCTGTGTCATCTAGACCATATTTGAATTGCCAAAAGTACATTGATAAAGCTCTTCTCAAGATCTAGTTAAGTAAATTAATTTAGTAAGAAATCCAGCAACCACAAAATTGAAATGGATTTTAAAAACCTGAGAGTCTATTTTTCACTGTTGCTTAAGTTCACAGTGAATGTTTACATCACCCTTAGATTCAACATGTTTTTAATGATTTGAAAAAAGTCAATGGCAGAAGAAAATGAAAGTCGAACACCTTTCATTAGCTGAAATTAAGAGGAGCACTTTGATTTCACAATCTAAAAAACTCCTTCAGGGCTAAGATTTTTTAAATAGAATATGGCCCTTGAACTGTATTTTCAGGATGTGGCTATCTAGAGCTTGTAGGCCAAATTGAGAATTCAGTATTTAAATTATGGTTTGCAATATGTAATGACAGAAGTGACAGCTTTTTAGGACATATTATCTAGAGTAAGTACAGCTCTGTATTTATAAAGGCATATATAGAAATAGGCATCAAGTTTCAGTAGAAGCTAAAATAACCCTGAAATCCTTCCCAAATATGAAAAATGTCTCCAGTTTAGTTATAGAATCACTGCATGGAAAATTATTGCACAACTTCCTTATCAGAGGGGATTTTGATTGGGTGGAGTTTTACCCAATTAGTCATTCATGAAGTAACAACCTTTACCATCTCCAGGGATGGTGCATCCACTACTTTGGGCAATCTCTTCCAGTGCCTCATCATCCTCACAATTAAGAATTCCTTCCTTACATCTAATCTAAATCTCTTTCACTTTAAAGCCATTCCCTCTAGTCCTATCACTCTCTGCCCTTGCAAAACATCTCTGTCCCTCCTTCTTGGGCCCCTTTTAGGTACTGAAAGGCCACTAGAAGGTCTCCCTGAAGCCTTCTCTTCTCAAAGCTCGATTCTTATGATGAACTACAATTATCAGATTTTCGTGTGACCTTGCCTATTAGCCATTAGATAAATAGTACACTTTCAAATTCAACAATACTTTTCAAATGACTTAAGGGACTTTCTCTTATAGGTCTTCAAGAAAGAAGGTCTGCATTATTCAAGACTGGACTTCAGGATGAGTATGAAAAAAAAAAAGATTCCTAAAGATACAGTATTTTGGCTCTAAAATCAGTGCACATTTAAAAAGAATAGTTTTACTGAAGGAAAACAAATGACCAAGTTGAGCAGCTTTTGAGCATGTCTAAAATGCCTGGTAGGAAGTTTAAGATGCATGCATTAAGCGTCTGGTGCTTACAGATCTTAACTGTTTTATTTAAGAGCTGAGTGCTAGAAGCAGATTTTGCTGAGATGTGACATTTTTCAGTATTGTATGTTACAACCATTCTGGTAAAAATCTCAGTGGAGCTTCAGTGCATTTCTGTACCCCTCTACTAACCTTCCTTACATACACTGATGCAAATGGTGAATGGAAATTACAGGTGTCATTGACCAAAGGCCACATTAAAAAAATTTGGGAACTTCTTCATTCCGTCTCTGAATGCTCACATGGCAAATCACACAGAAGTTGCATTTAATTTTTCAAGGGTTTCCATGAACATCAGATTCCTATTTTTCTGTTAATAAATACATAATTTTTACATACCTACATATTTACTTAGCTGTTTAATTCTGGTGACAGAATTCTGGTGACAGATTATCCCAAGACTTTAACCTTTTTGCTGAGATACAATATGTGGAGCTTCATCTTTTTAGAACATGAGATTTGTATTCACAAGCACCCGCCTGGTAATGAGTAGATTAGAATTGCACATGCGAACCTACACTTTAGAGTCAGTATCCACACAAATAATTTTGAGAGGTTACTGTTAGTTTTTGTAGGAGAAATCCAAGCAGACAATGGGTGGCCATTAAGTATTTTGTAGGCTTATTAATTTATGAATCAACAATCCTGATTCGAATAGGAGCATTATTTTACCCTGAGTATCTTTTTCTTGAGTATGTGTGTCTATTTATGTTCTGCACCAGTGTTGTACTCAGGCACTGGTTTGCTGCTTGGTGCACACCAGAAGTCGTACTTACAGCTTAAACTGAGCTCCTACAAAGTTCATGACTATCCTGGATGACAACCCCTCATCCAGATGTGAAACTTCTGTGTACTCAGGACAGCAGCTGACTTTGGTGACAAAAACTCTTACTTCGTGCCGTGCAGTTACCACAGCAAAGACTGAACTTTGATTTCCTTTCTCAAGTCCTCTCAAAAGAACTGTTTCTGAATTCCAAACAACTGCACGGGTTTGCCTGCAAAACCACCGGAACTGGTGACTGCGTACCGATGAAGGCAGTGCACCAAGAAGACAAGCTTGAGTTTCCACAGCTGAAATAGTGGTTTTACTTACTTCATTTAAGTAGGAAAGAAAAATAAAGAAGAAACCTAAGACATGTTTTTACACAGTAACATTTCAGAATAAAATTACTTTAAAAGTACTTTTTGCAAGGAACTGGAAGTCATCCTTGCCTAAAAATGCTAGCTTTCACTATTGCTCATGTAAGCTAAGAATGCATTAAGAATGCTGATAGCATTCCATTTTTTTCCATTACAAATGTATTTTTGTATGTGTTTAGTGTATTTCAACTTATACTAGTTATCATTAGTCAGATTAAAAAATAAGTAATTTTAAAATGTGTATTTTAATAATGATTATTCATGATTGTATTTATCACTCTCAACAATTAATTACCAAATATTTGCTGGACGTAAACCTTTTGTATTTCAATAAAACATAATAAAATTATTTACTTGAAAATTTCACAGGGAATTGAAGTGGTACCTAACATTGCACATAAGCTTATCATGTTACTTTAAAACTGATATAAAGTTACAGTTGGCGAAAAAGCCATAAGGAAACTGAAACAAAATTACATTTCCTAGATAAAGTATGAATTACTTGAATCTTTTTAAATTAAAAAACTACGACTGTAATTTGGCCCTTAAAATGAGAAAGTTCTGTAAGACTCTAAGGAGAACACAAAACCACAAAACCCTCACAAAAGCAATACCACATCTCCATCCCAAACATAAAGCTGCCCCCACAGAGCACACATTCCAAGCAGCAGGGTTGATGTCACCAGTCACTGACAGATACAAGCTAAAATTAAAAGGATGCAGAGTACATAGCATAGCAAATGATAGACACATTGGAAGTGATAGCAATAAATGTTTTTTTAAAAGTATTGAAAGTAAAAAGATACTTGTTTCAATAAATACTGAGAAATGAAGATTGAGATTTAGGAAAACAAAATCAGAATTTTCTTATATCAGAATGTTATTTTGGAGGAACACTTACCTTAGAAAGTAAAGATAAAATCTTTACTAGAATAAAGCTTTAAAAAGTAGGCTTAAGCACCAAAAATATCACATGGAAAAACAGCAGACATTACCAGCAAAGGAATATTTTTGCCTTTCTCATAACTTAATTAACCCTTATGTTTCAACTCTTCAAAGACAAAACAGTAAGAAGATACAAGTAAGATTTCAACATGGAATGTGTTTATTTTTTATTTTTAATTTTCAGTACAGTATTAAGAGGTCATTTAAATACTTTAAATAAAGATATTTGAAGAAAAACCCAGAGGATTCAACTAGGTAAAGAAAAACACAATCTTATCAGTGGATAAAAGAGAAGTATTGAATGACCTTATGATCTTCAGAATAACATTCTCAAGAAAATGCATATTCGTGGGTCACCTAGTCAGGAATGCAGCTTAGTGTTGTGCTTCTCTTCCTGTTCTTTGTTTTGTGGATCTCAACTATAATGGACAGCTTCACTGACAGGCAGGAAGAATTTTTTTTTTAATGAAACATGCAGAGAACCAAGTCAATGTGCTT